CAGGCTGCAAGGTTTTGAAAAAGATGTGTGTGCCCCAGGGTGAGAAAGCAAGTGAATGAGCTGTCAGTCTCCAGTCATCATCCAGCCTGTCCTTAGAAACTGAATGGGAAAAAAAACCCCCTTGCCTTCAGCCAGTCTCACTAGCCAAGTGTCTCAGTACACTTTGCGTTTCCATCAGATGTAATGAAAAATTCAGCCATCTGCCATGGGAAGCGGGCAGGGTGGTTTAGCAAGGCTAGCGGGAACAAATAAATGGAGTTGTGTTAATATGAAAAGAAAGAGAACTGTCAGAAGCCAATTCACTGCACCGAAGAGGCCAGCTAGTCTAGTGCTTGGGCTTACACCTGGTTTTCAAGCCGTGATAGGTCCAGAGGCCTTTTCCCAGGCCAGCAGAGCCTTGCCTTAGGCTCTCTCCCTTCTGCCAAAGCTGTGGCTGATGCTTTGTCATGACCAGATGGAGATGGGGCCATTCACAGTTTTCAAAAGGAGTTGTTTGGACCAAACTTCTTCTCAAAGGGGTTGGAATTGCATAATTTAAGAAGGAACCACTGCATGTTAATTATGGATTAATTGCTGGAGTCACAGCTAGGCCAAATCACTGCTTCAGTTTCTGAGAGATGGCCCCTGTTAATCTGTGGCCCAAGTGCAAGGCACCCTGTTGCTGGCAGGAGGGAGAGAGGTGGGACTGAGTTACCACAGATCAGTTATGATCCACGGATGATGACGGGGTGCGCATGGGAAAGGTGACTGATGAGAGCCAATCTGTTCTCAGGCAGCACAAATTCACCCTTGGTGGGGGGATGTAAAGTTTTAAAGCCCCTGCTCGGTTGCCTGGCAGATATCAGCGTTCAGTTGTGTTGACACTGCAGCACACTGTCCGTGTATGTACTATTTTGGATACACATTCCCCAAGTTTGGCTACAGCAATGTAGCAGCCACTGGGTTAAGAGATAACGCTGAGAAACAATTCTCCACGCCTCTTCTTGCTGCTTCTGCTTGTCCTTCTGGCCAAATCGGTTGTGTTTGAGTGCTTTACCTTCTGCACTGGGGGTACATCTAGAATTACTTTCCTAAAGCTGACAAGGTTTTATATATATAAATAGTCAATGTTAAAGCAGGCTGTTGTTGAACTTTCTTTGAATTGTGGCATCAAAGATGTACCTAGGCTTCCTTTTAAAGTCACCTGCACTTCTGATTCACCTGTCTGGGTGACTTTATGTCTACCCTGGGTAGATCCTATCCTTTAAACCCAAACAAAACAGTTGCTCTAGAATGGAGATTAGATGCGTCGAGCACTTCAGAACATTTATTGGTGGGGTTTTTTTAAGACTTCCTATTGCCTGGGTAGCTATTAATAAACAACTGGGTTTCTTCCTCCAAACTGCACTATTTTTCATTTGCGATCGCCATTTCAGCACTGAAACTTCTATTAGGTCTAAGGTGGAGCTTTGATGATGAGGCTGATGTAGGCAGAACCTAGACTTGAATTCCTGGGGATGGTGGGGAGAGAGGCATTTAAGACTGCGGCATCACCCTCAACTGGTCTGTCGCTGCAGGTAGGTGTAGTAACCAAGAGAGTCTTTCACGGGTTCATTTTGCAGAGGTGAAAGCCTGAGTGAGGCTGTGGTCATATTATCCAGAAAGCTCAAAGTACAAGGATGAGGTTTCTGTAGATACTGTAAGGGTGTTTATCCATTTTAGAACTTTGTATAGAGTTTATTTTGTTTCCTTGTGCAGAGGTAGTTAACAAATTACCTTCCTTTACATGTGCACTGGACTGTAGTAATATTTTAGATAAGAACGTGACAAGCAGTAAGAACTTTCAGTGTCGGGGGGGGGAGAAACTTAGGAAGGCTATCATCACCCCTAAGTGTTGTTCTTGAGGTTGTTTTCTGTGTCTTTCTCTGAATGTTGATAATTCTCCAGAACCCGCCTCGCCTGCATCCTCTACAGCGCCTGCCCTAGGGCTTTCCTACCTCTCTGTGCAAAAGAGGTCAGCAGCAGAATGACCCACGGTCACACCTGCAGCTGCTCCAGGCATTAAAATTCCTAACGTCACTGTTGCCACATAAGAAAATTCCCACGTTTTATTTCTCATAGGAGAGCCTCATGGGTTTCTGCTTGTGCTGGAAGAAACTCTCACTGCTCAAACCCTTATCAGACAGGGCACGTGAAAGGTCTGACACAGCCTAATAGCTTGCTGGTGCTTTAGGACCCAAGTCCATTCAGATACAGATGGAGCAACAGGCTTGGGTAGCAGGCAGGTCACAGAAATGGGGGATAGGATACCTCTGGTTTTAAGCATCCAAACTGCTTCAGACGACGGGTTTCTGGTTCTGCTGAAGGAGGTGTTTGGATCTGTCCAACCAGGACACTGGTGAATGACACAAAAGCTGTTTGGTTTGCTTTTTCATTACTGTCTCAGTTAATGAGAACTCTAAGCTTCTTGCCAGCTTTGCCTCACCATCCTCCTCCTCTTTTTTTTTTTTTTATAGTCATGGAAACAAAGAGGTATTCTCCTGCTGGGGGATCCAGCTGGCAGTGGATTGGTTTCGAGAAAGGGGGCACACTTACATCAAGGTTTTTGTCCCACTCTGGAGAAAGGAGCCCCCTCGACAAGATAGTCCAATTGCAGGTAGGTCACCATCCTGGACATAATTTGGCAACCATTAGTGCAGTTTGGCAGCAGGGGTATGAAGAGTCCGGTACAGTTTTGCCCTGTAAAGACCAGCACAGTGCAGGTTGTGTATCAGGTTTCCATCACTTAAATTAGTCATTACTTTATTGCCGTACGCTCCTGGCTAGCAGCTAAAAGGGCATACGAGGCTTCGTTACGCTGCTTTGAGCCTTCTGCTTTAGAAGCACAAGTTTCTGCCAGCTGAGTTGAGGGAAGGGTGAGTTTGTCAGCTTGCAACGGGTCTGCAGAGCTTTTAAGGCCAGCCAGGAGACGGCGACACCGTTTCACACATGATGCAAAGGTGGCCGCGTCCGAAGCATTCACTACTGTGCGACTGTTACCTGTTACCCTGAGACAGGAGCTACAGGGGTTCCTCTTCCAGGAGAAGGAAACACACCACCTGAAGGCTGTGGAGGGTGCCGAGGTTTAGTCTGTATGGAAGCAGCCCTGCCAGATTTGTGCCAGCGGCTCGGCAGCTGCGGCGGCCAGGGACCCGCCTTTCTGTGAGGCAGGAATGGCAAGCAGCCAGCGTGTTCTCGACAGCAGCAAAAGAAGTTTGTTTGCTTGTTTTTATTTTATCAGGCACATTTTTATCTCCCAGTAACACTCATACTAGGGCTGGTTGTGAGCCTTCTAGCACCTAGTGGGGTAAAAAGGGAACTACAGGGGTTCGGCGCATTGCTGATATAGAATTCAAGCCATCCTTCTATGGATAAGACTTAAAAATAAAAAAGGTGTCTTAAATTCTGAGATCAGATGCTTTTCTAAAAGACCTAATTGTCAAGTTACCACCACACATCAGTGCATCTGAAAATCACATCACTTTAAGTTGCCTAAAGCGCTGGAACATCTTTAGATTCCTGTAGGTTTCTAGCCCGTGATTGAGAACTGGTCATTAATAATTGATTACCGTTTTGATTTTTATTTTTTCCCTTTCTCTTTCTGCCAACCACCCCGCCAGATCAGCACATTCTTGAAGAGCTTGAAAAGCAATCGATCCTTGTGTACACCCCATCGCGGAAGGTGAAAGGCAAGAGGGTAGTTTGCTACGATGATCGCTATATCGTGAAAGTGGCTTATGAGAAAGACGGAGTCATTGTTTCCAATGACCATTACCGGGATCTCCAGAACGAAAACCCTGAGTGGAAATGGTTTATCGAGCAGCGACTACTCATGTACTCCTTCGTCAGCAACAGGTAAGAGACAGCTGTTGTTATGCAATCTTTAATTTGAACGTTACGGACCAAGTCAACACCAAGGCACCTCTCACCAGTAGCAGAGTACGTGAGCCTTTTTCTGAAGGGGATTTACCACAACTGTTTGTATCTCATTTCTTTAGTTCCTGCTCCCTCAACTTTGGTCTTACCCCCCGCCCCCAGTCACTCTTCAATGAACTTCTCTATTTGACAGGCGACGTTAGTGACCAGCTTTTCTTCTTTCCAATTCAAACTGGGATGCCACACCCAAGGCCTGGTATCTTTTCATTTCTATTTCATAGCAGGGCAACAGAATTAAATCAGTGAGAGGAGGCTGGCTATCTGGCCGTATTTTTAATTCCCCTATGAGGCAGAACAGCTCTTTTCCCTATGCTTTTCTAATTGTAACATTCTAGAAGAGAGATGAGAAGCTGGTCTCTTTGCCCCCTTAGCCATCCCCATCGGGAAAGGCTCTCATTAAGGCGCCTGCACCCGTGCCCACGAGGCCGAGCTGTATGCTCCTCAGTCTGCACATACTAACCCTGCCCGAGTTTTCTTCTAGCAGAGGTGTTTGCCAGTGGGCAGTTTGGCTGGGAGACGCACGCGCAGACACCCAGTGCGCACGGAGGAGCGCGAATGGGGCGGGCGCCTCGCGCAGCAGCACCTGCCTTGGGTCAGGGTGCAGACTTGGCTCTCCCGCCACCAAAACTGGATGGGAGCACTTGGCCCCGGGTTTCAGTTTCCCTGTAATGCTGTGCACAGAAATGCAGTTGCTGAACATCAGCGTCCTGTATTTCTTAAAGCTCCAGTCTGTCATTTCCAACAACCCCCAGGCTTCTTCCCTAGTTACTACTGGGTTACAACCGTTTATATGCTATTTTCCTTCCTATTTCATAGGCATCGCCAGATCTTTTCAGAACCCTTCCCTCAGAAAGTCTAGCTGCTACTCTGTAGCTTGTTTGAATAGTGTTAGTGGGACCTTCTTGTGCAGCTTCGGGTACCTCTCAACAACCGTAGCCTGAAGGTGGAGGTTTCGGTCCCATTGTGCGGATGAACAAATTCCTGGTGGTGCATGAGTGGGTGCAGATGAACAAATTCCCTTCCCCGTGCCTCCCTTCATCTGACAGACTGCTGTTCCACGGGTGGGTGCGGCGCAGAGTCATTTGCAAACAAGTCCAGAGGTGCTAATTAGTTTTTCTTCCTGAAGCATCACATCCAGGTACTGGCACAGAAGAATAAACAGCTTTAGCTGAGCATTTTTGCAGGCTTTGTAGCAGGAAGCCTGTACTGAATCCTTGAGAAAGGCTGGGTTGTTTATCGCACCACGTGCATGATCAGCTGTAGCTCTGAAACAACCGATGGCTTTTTAAACCTCATTCTCCTGCAAGTATTTAGTAAGAGAAAAGTGAGTTTGCTCTGGAAGGGAGCCACTGGTGAGGACTGGAGTGCTGGGACCACAGAAGCGTTTGCTGCTGCTTCAGAGAAAAAGGAGGCGATGCTGTAATGGCTGGGGCTGCTGGACGGCCAGAGCTGCACCAAGCCCCTGTGTATTTCCAGTCATTTAAGTTATTAGGAAAAAGCCAATTCCATGAAGCTGAAGTGTCAGCTTGGCAGGCGGGAAGGCGCCATCCCGAGCAGCGCAGCCTGACTCCTAGAGGCCAGGCCACAAAAGGATCACAAGGATTTTCTGCCCTGAGCTTGTGCCAAAACCTGTGACAGCACTTTAGCTCCGAGAGCTTGAAGTAGTTTTGTTACCCCTGTGACTTTTTTCCTTTTTCAGGTTTATGCCTCCTGATGATCCATTAGGCCGGCACGGGCCCACTCTTAATAACTTCCTCAGCAAACAGCCAGTGCCTCCTGAACCCAAATGGCAGCCTTGCCCCTACGGTGGGTTTCTCTCCGTGCTGTGAAGCGCCACCCCCTTCCTCCCGCCCCTCGCTTCTCAGCGGCGCTTTCCTCTGGCTGACGACACGCGCCGTTGCCACGTGCTGTCCTACTTGGCGCTTTGCTTGGTAGAGTTTTTGGCCAGGGTGATGCTTTTTTCCCCCTCTGCTTCAGCCTCAGCAAAGGCAGCAGCCATTTCTGGCTCCTCCATCCTTGCCTACGTGCAGCCCCCAAACCAGGCACCATGGCTGTGCTGACCCCCCCACCCCCAGCCTGCACATGCTTTTCACATTGCAGGGTGCACTTCCACTACAGCACTCGGGAAAGGCCATGCAAATGCTCTCCCCTCCTGCCCCAAACCAGCTTTCCAGTAATGTAGAGGTTTCTCAGCAGTAAATTTCTGTACCATTTTTTAAAGCAACCCCTTGTAGCATAGCAGGTCTCCCAGCTCACTGAGTGCAGCAACCAGAACATAAATGAATTTCAGGCACTTCCAAAATAGCAGAAACTTCCCTTCCCTGCTACCTCACCCCGCTATTTAGGTCAGCGATATTTAAATCTGGGGTCAAAAGTACTGAGCTGGAAAACAGCACTTCCCCTCTTTGCTGTTTGTCCTCACCCCACGCGGGCAAATGCAGAGTGCTGGTGAGAAGCAATGAGTACGTTAATCACCACGGGTGCTAAACCTCCTGTTTGACTTTTTTGATTCTTTCAGGTAAAAAATGCACCTATGGCAACAAATGCAAATTTTACCACCCAGAGAGACTGCATCAAGCTCAGCTTTCAGTTGCTGATGAGCTCAGGGCCAAAATAAAGGTCCCGTTAAGGCTGGGGAAAGAGGAGGAGCAGTGTAACCGCTCACCATACGGGACCGGAGGAGAGCCAGCACCACCCGACGCCTGCACGGAAAGGCTGCGAGAAGCCCGTGGCTCCGCAAGGCCTTCCTGCTACCCAGGGTGGTCCCAGGGGTGCTGCCAGGAGCCTCCCTCCGGCGCCTGGGCTGGCGGCCCCGGTGCTGAGCTGGGGCTGGACCTGGGGTTGCTACAGCCGGAGCTGCTCCAAGACCGGCCGCTCCCAGAGAAGATGTCAGCGCTGTCCATCGGTGACAACACGTACGGTTACAATCGGTCCATGTGTAGCTCTCAGGACAGAGAGGTGACAGACAGCCCTCACCACTGCGGTGACCTCAGGCACAACCCATACACGCTTCATCACCCCCGTAGCTTGGACCGCACCTGCCTGCCGGGATGCCCTTTCCAGCAAACCCTGCTCCCGCCTGCGCCGGGCGGGATGCACCCGGGCCATGGCTGGCCTCTGGAGCACTGCGGCACGCGCCGGCTGGCTCAGGGGAGCCGCCACATCCCTGAGGGCGCTCAGCACCAACAGGCCCTGGAGACTCAGCACTGTGTTTTGCCGCCATCTGCAGCTCTCCCCCCTGACCCCCTTCACTCGTTCGGCGAGCACCAGCTCCAGCAGCAGCCGCGCTGCTTCCCCAGCCGGCCCCCACGGCAGCCCTTTCTGTTAGACTCCGGCAATGGGCTGGGCTTCTTCCAGAAAGCCCATGCTTACCCCGACGCCTCTTACGGTGACTACTGGCCCACCCCAAGCACAAGGCCACCTTCTGCCCAGCAAGCAAACATACACAGGGAGCTGTGCTCCCTTTTCCCTTATGGCGAGGTGAACCACGTCATGGCTTTGTACCCTGATATCAAGGATATTCCGAGCTTGACTTTGCTGATTCAAAGACACAGAAACTTGTGAAGCCTCCAGATCAAACCTTTCCCAACACGCACAAGTCCTGGGGCACAAAGCTGAGGCCGAATTAAGTGTTATTAAAGGGCTTTGCGGCAAGGGTTATAGCTGTTCCAGGAGTCCAAGTCTAAGCGTCGACCAGCTACATTGCATGGGGCACCGGGTCAAGGCAAAGGCTGCCGCTCAGCGCAGAGGGATCTCATTCATCTCCCATGGAAGTGAGTGGGAGGGCTCAGGGTAACTGGGCTGTCAGCACTTGAACCTCACTGGTTTCAGGATGGCACAGATCTTCATCAATGCCTTGAAACACTAGACGTGTTTTTAAAGTCTTAACCTACTGTTCAACTGCTGTAAAAGAACCATGCTCTGTGGGTGCCCGTAACAGGCTCTCCATAGGCCCCCCATGACTACTTGGCTCAGCTAGCACCTGCAAGGAATTTGGCCTATCCCCCTGCCCCATGCTCTCTGCTAGAAGGCACCTTCGGGTCTGTATTAATTGCCTTCTAGCTTTCAAAGACACATCTCCTGTTTCTAAACCAACGCTGTGAACCCACAGACTCACCAGCAGAGGCGGTGGAGATGCCCCAGAGCACAGGACGACAGCGGCGGGTACATTTCTCCGGGATCACGCCCAAACACGCACGTCCAATTTGGGGGAGTCACCTGCAGCCTAAGGCCTGATGTGGACTGGGGGATGGGGGTTGTTTCTTCATTTTTGTATTAACACAGATGATACCAAAGGGGGGTAAGGGCGTGGGATGAGGGGGGGAAAGGAGGCTTTAAAGTACCTCTTGTATTGAACAAGAAAACTACCCTTGAGTTAACCCTTAATTATCAGATGTTGTCCCCTAATGTGATGACACAGCTGATTTATGATTACAAACATTTAAACTGTGTTCTGTTGGGACACGTTTGATTTTCAGTAAGCTGTAAAGCTGCTAATCTCTGCATTATTCCACTGAATTCTTCAGGTTACAAGACAAATATTAAGGTTGATCCTGAAAGTTTTTGGCATTATACCAAAGTTTAAGTATGTCAGTATGACACATTTTGAAAAAAATGCTTTAACACATTATAAAATGGTCATCTAGACACTTTATGCTCTGAATAATGTAATCTTTTTTCTTTTTTGTTTGTTTTTATATTTTTGTTTGATTTTATATTTTTATTTTTTCCCAATCCCTCTTAGCACTGATGCTTTATCAAGTCCAACATTCAGGTGGGATTTACAATCTCTCTGACCCTGCCGTATCTCTGCTCGGTTCTTCTCTGAAGTGCTATTGGTGATGTTGGTCCCAGGCAGGAATTAAACACAGCCCTCACTGACAACTCTGAAGTCTCTTGCTTTCGAAAAGATGACTAAGGAGTAGTAATTTACCTTTAGTGACATTATCACATGGTGCATTTTTGAAAGTGGTAATAGTTTGACCTGTTTCCTTCTGCAAACCACCAGCAGCATTTTTTTGGTGGTGGTGGTTAAAGAATCTTCAGGAAATAAGTATACTGTATCAGTTCGATCTCTTATGGCCATGTGGTTGGCTCTAAGAAATTCTAATTTGGAGTTTGGAGGTATGATTTATCTTCACAGAACATGACAGGTTTTTTTCCATGTGTCATGAATTTTCCACTAATTATAGTCATGATACATATTTTATAACTGGATCACCAGAATGGCTTATGAATGTATCCACTGCACATTACATAGAGACTAGAACTGACATTAAAACAAAACTGTGGCATAAACGCCCTGTGAAATGCTTTGAAAAGTACTGGAGTTCTACAGCCACCCTTAGTTGCGCTGAAATCTGTCACACACCACGCTTAACACATTGAAGCGACCAGAGACATTTCATGGATTAAATGCCTATATGGTGCCTATGGAGGGCCAGGCTCACTGGCTTGCCTAGCGACCTGTACCAGAGCTTTCCCAACTGCTGCCGTACACGTATATGCTGCTGCACACACACATATATACTGCTGGACACATATATACTGCTGCACACCTACATAGATGCACTCGCAGAGAAAGTGCGATGCGGGGCAGAAAAGATACCTTCCACGTACTGAAACAGAGCAAGTCCCAAATGACAGCATTCAGAAAATGCGACAGAGCGGGATATAACCCTGCGTGTCAACATGTATTTTTATGTCTGGAATGTACGTTACAGATCTCAATACAGAAAACATCTAAAATCTATAGGAACATTGGCATGCTGCCTTTATATAGTGCCCTGGGCTCGCTGGAGACATGTGCGTAGGCTTTTCTCCTTTTCCTTTGAGGACGCACAGGAATTTGGTGGTCATTCAAAACCCTCTCTTGATGTTTAATAACTTATTTTTCTTTCTTTTCTGTCTTATTTACTAGGGGAGCTTTCAGTAAAATACATAGAATGTGCATTCCGCTGGGAAAGCATCTAGGAAAATAAATCAGACTTTGGCGCCGAACAGAACTTGATTTCTCTTGGCTCTTCTGCTCACCAGAGGGTTTTTTCTCATGGAGCTTTTGCTAGAAGGCAGCTCAGCAGCAGCGCTGTGTCACCCTGCCCCCAGCCAAGAGCCCATGGGAAGCACAGACCCTTTCCTTATTTCACCACAGCACAAGCATCAGGGAGTGGGGACTCTGCTGCAGAGCCTTTTGCACTTCCCAGGGCAGGAGGATTTCTTTTTGGCTTTGTCAGCTCCTGGGGTAAGGGAAGGGGCTGCTAACAGAGAGGAGCAGGCAGCTTTTGCACAGCCAGGGTAGGAGGCTGTTGCTATTTGTTATCTCTGTGGAGATGCATTCGAGTCCAGCTCTTGCTGCCAAGTTGAAAATGAATCCATAAATCCCAACAGGCTTAGAAAGCCCTTGATGTTCTTTGCTTTTTCGTTGTCAAGACTCTTAGAAGAGGACTGAAGCAGTGGGAGCGATCGTCCAGCAGATGGGCTGCTTTCCTAAGGGAGATTTGCAGAGTTGCCAAATTAATTTTAAGATTAAAAAATAAAGATATTTAAAAAAAAGCCATAAAAAAAGACTTCTCTTCCCTTCTTTATTCTCACCCTTTCCTGAAAAGTTAGGAAGCCATAGACACCCTCCTTTGTGAGGGGCTAGGGAAACTAGATACAAGTATTTCACTGAGAAGTCTGGGGTGGAAGTCACCCCTGCAACAGCTCCACAGCATAAAAAGGGGGAAAGAGGGTGCTCCTCTGCACCCAACGCAGTCCTGGGCAGCTCACGGTGCCTTCCTCCCACCTCTCCTCCTTAAATACAGAAATTTCTCCTTCGCAGAACATTGACGACAAGTCCACTGATTTGGTGAGCTAAGATACCATAAGAATTAACGCCATCAGGTGGCCTAGGAAGTAGATAATAACCTTGCTCTGTATCAAACGCTTGTATTTGCCATTTATTCTGAGAAGCTTTGCTAATATTTTAACTCACTTCCTGTTAAGAGCCAGCACAATTTATAAGCAAACATTGGAACTGATCACAAACGACTAACTAGAACACGACAAGTTTCACGGCATCTCTCTCTCTCTTAAAAATGTCGGATTGCTCGGGAAGAGCAAGCAAGCCCTGTACTTCACCAAGTGTGACAGACCACCTCTGCAAGTCGAAAAAACCCCAAAGCCTCTGCTGAAAGCCTTTAACAGACAGACGCCTACGTTGGACACGGGTACTTTACGTACATTTCTCTAAGGTAACGATTCAGAGATCATCTTTCCCCTTTTGCATGGACGTTCCCCAAGCCAGGAGTCGGAACATCTCAGATTTACTCCCGGAGCTGTAACGCATCCCCTCTGCCGCGGTCAGCCCTTTGCTCCTCTGCCTCTGGGCACGTCTGCCCTGCCTTCGCTGGCACAGGCAGAAGGCGGCCGTGGTATTTACCTCCTGCCTCCTGGTGGGACTGGGATGCTGTGAGCTCGTCGAAAAGAACAGTTTAATATTACAGCACTGCTTGTCATCGGCGTTACTGAGAAAGCGCTACGACTTGCAATCGACAGCGAAGGGACTTTTATGGCACTTCAGCCACTTCCCTTCTCCACCCTGGGGTGGGCTCACCGCCTTGAAGTCTTGCGGCAGGCTCGGAGGAACTTGTCAGTAAGAGGTACTGATGCGCTGACTTGGCAAATGCGACCAAACTGGACATACAAATGGGGCAAAGCTGTGAGCACAGCGACTTGTGGGGACAGTAGAGGCCAGGCGGCAAGCCAGGCTGTCAGGACGACACGTGCAGGGCGGGCAGGCCTCTGAATGCAGCAAGGAAATTAGACAGCGCCCCTCTGCTGATGAACAGCGGCATCAGAATTGCTTGTGGCAGCTGCACCACCTCCTCCTCTCTGGCTTGCCCCCGTGTCACACAGTTCTCTTGGTTTCCCTATTTTTTCCACAGTTTTTTCCTCACTGTTCTTGCTGGGCTCAGAATTTCCATTGCGCTCTTTACAGAGTGGGTTGCAACTTACAGAACGCTCCCCTCTCCCAAACCCCTTTCCTTCCACCCCTGCAGAAACCACCCCCCCCGCCCCAAACTCCTGCTTCGTGCTCCCTTCTCTCCTTTTCTTCCCGTCCCAGGTGCTCACCTCCACCCCTGCCACATGGGGTATTCCTCCTGCTCAAGCTCAGATAGAGTCCTATCTCTCCCTTCAGCCCCGCCTTCCAGCTGAAAGGTGGTTTTTTTGTTTGGGTGGGTTTTTTTGCTTTTCTTTTTTCTTTTTCTTTTTTAATAGTTTTTGGTGTTTTTTGTCGTTGTAGTTAAAACCTAAACCTTGACGTGGATACCTTTAGCCTGGCAAAGACCTGATACGCTCAGGCTGTTTTCCCATCCCGCCTTAAAGCAGTCTTCCTAGCAAAAGTTGTTTGGGTAAGGAAACAGCGGCAAGGCTACATTCGCACGTGCGTGTGCTGACTTCGTACAGCTTTCGCTTCTCTAAGGGTCAAACAAGATCCTAGCAGAAACGCAGCCCCCATATGCTCTTTAACTGCCTTAAGCCCTACTGGAAAAGCAACATTTATCCTCCACCTCCCACCACCAAAACAGAAGATTTGAGGCAGTTGCTAGCGCTACTGGTTTCACACAGGGGACAAATGGGCATCAGGACACTGAACTGCAGAGTAAAACCCTAAACTAGAAGCAGGCAGCGAAACACGGATGGCATAAACCCAGTCAACCTAGATAAATGGGAATAAATTTTTCTCATAGAAGATGAAAGAGGTATTAAATAAGATTAAAGAAACGTAGAGCTGGTAGAAGCAAGTAGTGTATGTCACGGTAAGGTACGACAAACCTCGGAGAGGCGCTGCCGTGCACAGGGAGGTTCAAAAGGGCGGCCGCCATCCGTCCGCACACTTGCGGCGGCGAGGAAAGCGGGGTCCGGCTCTCTCCTGCGATCGCCAGCTTGCTGAACTTAACATCCGCACCGCAGGGACTGCAAACAACCGAGGAAACTGCTAAATGAGAAGTGGTATCAGCTATAGCAACTGAATGAACTACAGCGCCGAACACGAGGACAAGACGAAGGCACCATCACCACCCGGCGATTTGGTTTTCGGATTAGACCTAGTTTTACCACAGGACTGATGTTCTCCTCTCATTGCCAGCAGAGGAGCTGCAGATGGATGGGGACAGCCTAACAGTACCACAGGGCAACCAACGCTTGCCAAGGGGGACGTGATGGCTTTTACCACTTGCAGAGGTAAGTGGCAATGTGCACTTCATAAATAAAGCCACATTCTGCAGCTCCAGGGAAACAGGAGGCATAAATGCCACGAGAGCCTGGCAAAGGCTGCAGCCCAGCCGATCACTGCTCCGAGAGCGGTGCTAAAGAAATTTTAGCTGGGGAAGCAAACTTGGCTACGATTTGTTATTGCCAAAAAACACACAGCCATTGGCAGACAATTATAAACGTTACTCAAAACTATCATCGGAATGAGAAATACCGAGTTCTCCCCGCAGGAGGTCCTGTTAGGAAGAGACTGAAGGGAATACAGAAGCTTGTAAAAATGTTATTTCCAGCAGGGAAACATTCTCAGAGAACTTCAGCATCTGAATATCGCTTTGCTCATAATGTAATATATGACATGTGGTGGATTTGGAGCCCTGGCTTCATTTAAAGAAGCAGATGGAAGATCTTTAAACCTTTAGAGCATCTTTCTTAAGTTACATAGGTCATATTTAAGCCTCGCAGGAGAGGAAAAAAAAAAAAGTGAGTATCATTTTAAGCTGGAGCCAAAATAACATGATATTATTAAAAAAAAAAAAAAAAAAAGACAGAGGATCCAAGTTCTGGATGAGCAGAAAAGTAGAAAAAATACTCTCTAGTGTTACTTCTGTTTGTCTTTCATGCTACTGCATATGCCACCAGGGATGGTATTTGGGAGACACAGTTTTAGGTCAGCCTCTGCACTTCGCTCTTTGATATTCTACTATTTGTATTTGTCCAAGGGAGCTTAAGTAGAGTTGATGAAAGAAAAAGTATACACAGCCAAGTGGAAGGCCTCTAGGAAACGTCTAGCAATTGACATCTGTAAGACATATACCAATAATCTCCTTTTAAAAAACCACGATGGCCAAGTCCACCACAAGGTGTCAATGTGGTAGCGCTAGAAACAGGATTTGCTGCTCCCGGGCTGACTTTCACAAAGCCAGTCCCATCCACTCGCATAAAATCCCATCAGCAAGGGGTTGCACCCACTTCATCTGCGTGTGGAACCGACCCGGCACGACCCAGCAGCGCGCTTCGGAGGGCGGCGCGGCAGAGTTTCGGCTCTGCTCGGCACGAAGAGAGCTTTGCCTGGGCCTCCCAGCCAGAAAGGCTCCCCACAGGTCGAAAGAAATTCGTGTACCCGCAGGCGAGGCTTCATCGCGCCGGCTGAACCGATTCTGGTGACGTCTGCCAGCTGCTGCTTCGTACGCGGAGCTGAAACACGCCGTATTGTTAAGCACTTACAGTTTTGTAACCGCAGTTGTTAGAATTTTGTAAACTACAATTGTTAAGCTAAAGCCTCAACTTTAGCACGTGTTTTGTGTTTTAGTGGCCCTAAAAGGGCGCAAGGCAGCTCAGACCGTCTTAGAAGCTGCTGCACGGCGTCAGACCGCGGAGCGGGGAGAGCCAAACACGGGGTCACTCGGATAACAGGTTTCAGAAACAGGGCATTTTACAAAATCCACCCTTTATTCCATCATTTTATTCTCCCCTCACCTGTGGCTCAAGCTACAGCTGCCCTGACATCAGCGGTTCGGATTTATCTTGGCTAGGGCCCAGGGGCTGCTGCCAGGCTTCCCTTTCAGGGCAGCAGCCCTGGGAAAGTCACTCGGGGTTAAGTTTAGAGTTCCAGGTTGGCACATTCTTAACGCAAGCCAAAAATAAGTGTGAATGGGGATCAATTTTATGAATTTGCTGAGCTGCCAATTATATTTTAAAGCTGAAATCTGAAACTAGGTTTGCCAATTGGATAAGTATCACAGCCAACCCTTAGACAGAAATTAATTGGAAAAATGCTTTCTCTTCGAGTCCAGAGAGCATTGCCTTACAAACGTTATCTCTAAAGTCTTTCCAGATGTACTCTGGACATTATTGGTCAATCTGAACACGGGGGATTTTAACAAATTAAGTTTATTCTCTTGCATACGTGTCAATCAAGAGTCAGGCAGATACACACATGCCACAATTTCCCATTGCCTTCCTTTTACACCTTTTTTCCTTGCTTTTTTGGGGAGTGGGGTCACCACAGCTGGGCAATTGCTCAAGGCCAGGTAGCAGGGTTGTGCACCCACATACTTGTAAAACCGAAAATAAAACCCCCCGCCAGCCAGGCGGAGGAGACTGGATGTGCAACATGGCACACGCAAGCCTGAGCTCACAGCTATCTGAAACCTGCTCGCAGCCTGGCATCGAAGCGCCTTGCCAGAGGCACAAATAACCCCTCGTGCCCTGCTATCGCATCCCTGGCGCAGCAGCAACGCTGGCATGAGGGCAGGATTTCCTAAGCCTCTTGATGGAGCCCAAATTTGCCCACAGCCAGCAGCTGATGACTCCCAGCGCTGTGCCATCCTCGCTTTCATTTATTCAGGCTTGCTTTAAATACTGCATCCATGGTACCCAGCAGAGCTCAAAATGTAGTCTATGTTCTGGAAAACGCAGTTTCTGTCCCATTTCAAGGCAAAACCGCATCATGGTCATTAGCAATAATACTACAAAAGCTACACATGCTTTCTAGACATCGTTGTATGTACAAGAATCTGTAAAAACAAAAGACAACCCCATCCTTTTTGCACACATCGAATTAACAGGAACTGTTACACTTGGATATTTACAGTAAAATTGCTCTAAAGAGATTGCCACGGTGAAAGCAAAGATGGCAAGAGGAGTCAGAAAGAAACATGCCTCAATTATAACCGATTTCTGAAACAGTTAAGCTGAAAAACTACTGACTTGTACAGGGTATTAAATTCTAAGCTCTCTAAATCCACTGAGAAACTTCCAGAGCAAGTCTTCTAGGAGACACAGGCGGCGCCATGACATACATTTACCCTGCACCAAGCCAGGTTACGTCGCACCGACACAGAGCTGAGACCACGAAAGAACCCACAACCCAGGCTGCACATAGGGTTTTGCTGGAACACCCCCAGGGGATGCCCCGCCTGGCAATGCTGCTCTTCAGCACGCGGCATCGGAAGCGCAGGGTGAGCTGCACCGAAAGCGGGACAGAGCTGAGAACAAAGGCTCCCACAGGCTGGCCTGGGCGAGATTCTGAACGAAGTGGGAAACGCCGGCTCCTCTCCTGCCAGCTCAGGGACCAGACAGCTCGGTATGGGGTTAAGAGCACAAAAAATCATTGCCAGCTCAGGGTTGACTCAGCGGCTCGCGTGAGTTACATCAAGCCCTGCACCATCACGCACACCAGCAGAGAAGTGAAGAGAGAATGACAAAATACATGGTTTGGGAGCTTTCCGCGACCGTGGTATAACCCCTCACAACACCGTGCCGGGACTACCTGCTCCAGACTGGAAAGGGCTAAAAAGGCAGGGAAAGGGAACTCCATCAGCCTCGATACCAGAAGCTGATGAAAAATCACCTGGGAAAGGCCAGCGAGCAGCCCAGTTCGTGTTGCTGCGTGAGGATGCGCAGAGAGAACCGACTGCGCCCACGTCCCGCAGCCGGCAGGCACCCTCGCAAACCCCCAAATAAAAAAACATCCAGAAGCAGCCAACAGCAACTGCAGGTACAGAGCTGATTTGCAGCTGAGCGCAATACAACAGGGTTTGAGGGTGGAGAAGACAGCAGAAAACATCTCTTTCCAACATGAGCGATGGCTGTTGCTTTGAAGGATCACACAGGAGTTGCTGACAGATGAGTAATGGCAGGCGAAACCAGCCCCCCAGTGACCCCGTTTACGCCACCTACCTCTGGCCTTTGTCCATAACTTCTTCACCAGCATGTTTTACTCGTCAGGTCTTTTAT